GCACACATTACAGTATTGGTTTATGTGAAAATATCTGTGGGTTTAATGTCACTTTAACTCTAAACTGATTACCTGTACGGGTTTTTAAAGCATCGCCTATGGACAATTTGGGGTACTGCATTTTGTCGCCGTTTCAAGGGCGCATGCAATTTTTAAGCTTAGCATTTTGGGTATCTATTTATTCCGCATAACCTCATCGTTAATATTTTACATAAAAAATGGGTATTATAATGTGTTTTTGGCCACTAAAATTAACTTGTTTTTTTACTGAAATTTTGCTTTTGATAAAGAGTTGCGCAAATATCATCTGACATAAACAGGGCTATTCACTACAGGGTGAAGAGTTTGGAGAAGGAAGGTGAAGTGAACAATCTAGGACAAAATAGCTCATTTGGAAATATTCTCCAATTCAGCTCAATTTCCAGTTCAGCTATGTTATCCTATATTGTTCACTTCGCCTGCATTTTCCAAACCCTAACCCTTTTGTGAGTAACCATGAAAAATTTGAAACTGCCACCATTTTATTCTCCAGGGTCTGTACTTTCAGGAAATATATAACTCCTGGGGGTTTTAAGTAATTTTCAGGCATAAATGTGGATTATAACATGTGCAAAAAAAAAAAATGCCTTGGAAGCAAAAGGGTTAAGGGGGGGCTTTGCGGAGAGTTTGTCTCACTTCCTGTTGTAACAGCTTGCTTACACAAATGCCAGCTTATTGGTATGATAACACCTAATGCCCACCGAACACAAAGCTAGCAGAGTACTGTCATGCATTAAAAAGGCAATGTACTAGAGACAAAGCGACAATCTTGTCACTTTATAGATCACTGGTTCGGCCTCATCTTGAGTATGCGGTTCATTTTTGGTCACCAATCCATAGAAAGGATGTCCTTGAGCTGGAGAGAGTCCAGAGAAGGGCAACTAAACTAATTAAGGGGCTGGAGGACCAAAGATATGAGACAAGGATGCTAGATTTAAACTTGTTCACGCTGGAAGTGAGGAGATTAAAGGAGAACTATGAGGTGAGTGCTTTTAAGGGTGACGGGAGGACGCTAGTTTGTATCCTCCGTTACCCTAAGGAGAACTATGGGGAAAAGCCCTAACCCCATAGTTCTCCTTTAATAGGGGACATGATTTTGATGTACAAAATGTTCAGTGGTGATGGCAAGATCGGCACTAAATGTTTTACTGTAAACTCCCTAAAAACTCTAGAGGCCACCACCTAAAATTGGTGGAGAACACATCTGCTCAGTGAAGTATTAGCATTATACTTTATTTCTCTTTTACCTTCCATTTGGGCCCCAGGTGCTGGCTAAACATGTATGTCGCTGTCTTTGCATTACAAAAGTCCACCAAAAGCCGCACTCCTCCAGGACTCCACCAGTATAAAATCATTTATTGAATATTGAACACAAAAACATTTTGTGTTGTGAAGCAGCCACAGCTCCAAGCTCGCTCCCCTGATGGACTACAATCTCATGTTTAGTTTACTAATTTCTATTGAGATTGTAGTGCATCACGGGAGCGACACACACAGGAACAATGAAACATTATCATTGTTTGCTGAAAGCAATGCATGATGGGTTATGTAGTCTAGGAAGCAGGGTAAGAGATACAGAGCACACTGGGAACCCAGGAAGTTGTTGGAAGTGATAGGCAGACAGAAGGCATCACTCACTACATAAAAGGGATTTTTTTCAAGTAAGTTTTGATTGCATTATCAAAAACAACTCTAGTACGTATTCCTATTACAATGCTGATGTCATAACAGGAGAGGATATGCTGGGACATTAGAAGCTCAACTGAATTTTCAATTTAAATCAGCTACATACTGTACATTCCAGGTGCATCCGAACAAATGGTGTGTAGTCTTGCAGTTTGTTTTCTTTAGAAAGCAGTCACAGTGTGAGTAGAAAAGCCCATCCCCTGTCCGCATGCTACAGAGAACTGTTGCTTGGTGAGTGGAAGCAATGGAAATGCCCCTTACAGTACTGAGCCAATAAAGCTCAGGCTCGCTGCTGATTGGAGAGCTCTAGCTGTGGCTCAGCAGGGAGCTTGTCAGACCTCTGCTGTAAAGAAAAACCCTTGCTCTCTTTGGGGAAGCAGTGGTCTCTCTACGGAGGTCATACACCCACCCCCTCTGCTGAGTCACAGCTAAAGCCCTCTAAGCAGCAGGGAGAATGAGCATTGTTGATTTGAGAGCTCCAACTCTGACCTAAGTGGGAGGGTTCAAACATCTGCAGATAGACCACTGCTTCCACACAGAGCAAGAGTCCTTCTCTGCAGCATGATGGCAGGGGACAGGCTTTTCCACTCAGGCCATGTCTTCTTTCTAAAGAAAGTGAACTTTAGGACTTTGCACACCTTTTGTTCTTTTGAATAAATGGAATATATTTAGTAGATTTAAACTGTTGGGCTTTAAAGTATTGGTAAGCATGAATATGAACAAAGCGGCAGTTTGTTTCAATTCTTTAATACTTACAGTGGCATGAAAGTATGTGAACCCCTTGGAAGTAACTGGTTTTCTGCAGTAAGCGTAACTGAACAAACTGAAGAGTGAAGCTGATTGGTTGCCATGCACAGCTGCTCCAGATTTTGTCTTTTTGTCAGTTTTGAGAAATTCCCCACCATGAGCTTAAACTGATAACACACAAACAATTCTAATTTCTTGTGTCTTTATTGAACACACCCATTAAACATTCACTGTCCTGGAGGAAAAAGTAAGTGAACCTATAGACTAATTCAACAACATCTAATTGGCGTCAATAGCTTGCACACCTAGAGTCCAGTTAATGCAATGAGTTTGGAGGTGTGGTTTAGAGCTACTTTGATTGATAAAAGACACTCAAACATTTTAAGATTGCTGTTCATAAGAAGCATCAACTGATGTGAACCATGCATCACAAAAAAGGAGCTCGCTGAAGACATACGATCAAGAGTAGTTGATCTGTGTAAGGCTGAAAAGGGATACAAAACAATCTCAAAGTGTTAAGGCATCTATCAGTCAACAGTTAGGGCTAGTTCACATCAATGCCTGCGTTCCAGTCCAGTGCAATCAGAAACAATAGTTCATGCAGCATTTTTTCTGACTGCTCCGGACCATGCGTTCGGCCATGCGTTCGTTTGTGGGTTATCACACTGCAGCTGGGGGCGTGGCTACGGTGCCATTGACTTCAATCTGCCATCACGTCATCTCCCGCCCCATAACGCAGGGAGCCGGCCGGGATGCGATCCAGTGGGTTCCAGCTCCAAATGGGGGCCGTAACGCACTGTTTGTGTGAACTATCCCTTAGACGAATTGAGTGGAATTTATCAAAACTGGAGCAGACAAAATCTGGAGCAGCTGTGCATGGCAACCAATCAGCTCCTATCTTTCATTTTCAAATCTTAACTGAATAAACTGAAGAGTGAAGCTAATTGGTTGCAATTGGGCAACTGCTCCAGATTTTGTCTGCTCCAGTTTTAATAAATTCCCCCCATCGTCTATAAATGGAGACAGTTTAGTACTGTGGTTACTCTTACTAGAAGTGGGCGCTCAGCCAAGATGACTTCCAAGGCTCAACGCAGAATCCTCAATGAAGTAAAGAAGAACCCATGAGTAACAGCTAAAGGCTTGAAGACATCACTGAAACTGGCAAACATCCCTGTTCATGAGTTTATCATACGCAAGTCTTCGATCAGGCAGGGTGTCCATGGCAGAGCACCACGGAGGAAGCCGCTGCGCTTTAAAAAAAACCCAGTGCTGCCCGCTTGAAGTTTGCCAAAGAGCACCTTGGCAAACTGCAACACTACTGGGAAAATGTCTGGTGGACTGATGAAGCAAGCGCTGAATTGTTCGGGAAGAATACTCAGCACTATGTTTGATGTAAAAAGGGCATAGCTTACCAACATCAAAACATCATTCCAACGGTGAAGTGTGGTGGGGGGAACATCATGATTTGGGCTTGCTTCTCTGCCTTAGGGCCTGCATTTGCCATTATCGAGGGGAAAATTAATTCCCAAGTTTACCAAAATATCCTACAGGATAATGTCAGGGTGGCTGCCTGCCAGCTGAAGCTTAGTAGAAGTTAGGTGATGCAACGACCCTAAGCTTCGAAGTAAATCCACCACAGACTGCCTTCAGAAAAAGAAAATGCACCTTTTGGAGTGGTCCAGTCAGAGCCCAGACCTTAACCCCATAGAGATGCTGTGGAATGACCTCAAGAAAGCCATTCACACCAGACATCCTGCAAATGTGTCTGAGCTGAAGCAGTTTTGTAAAGAGGAATGGCCATAAATTCCTCGTGAACGTTGTGACGTTCTGATCCAGAGCTACCGAAAATGCTTGCTTGAATTTGCGGCATTGTGGCCAGCTATTAACTCCAAGGGCTCACTTACTTTTTCTTCCAGCTCTGTGAATGTTTAATGGGTGTGTTCAATAAACACGAGAAATTCAAATTCTTTGTGTGGTATCAGCTTAAGCACATTGTGTGTGTCTATTGTTGTGACTTAGATAAGGATCAGATCACATTTTATGGCAAATTACTGCAGAAAACCAGTTAATTTCAAGGGTTCCACATACTTTTTCTTGCAACTGTACATTTTTGCTGTGGATGCCCGGTGCTATGGTTATTCAGTGGGCTGCCTTCAGTTGCATCCAGTTACTGCACCCCTATCTGTCCTTTTCCAATGGTGACAATGTAATGCTGTCACCACTGTCTGTGGATCTCAAGCAGCATGCATGGCATGCTGACATTAGCTTTAGGTTTTCAGGGATCCTGAGGCAACAAAACTGTTCCTCATAGGGTGGTGCTCAGGGAGGGTTGTCACCCTGAGACTGGAAAAAGAGGAATAAGCAGGATCACAGGTGAGAAATATGATGTCAAAAGTTACAATTTTATTATTAATTACACTGTAAGGTTTGATTATACAGCAGACGAAGATGAACTCCAGTGAACCACAAAAGTCTCTCCACAGAGCAGCATGTCAATGTCCTGTGCGGACACTAGGTGGCAGGGATGGCTCGGCGATCGATTGCTTTGTTATCCTGGAGACAGAAGGGGGCGGCCATGTTGGATGTTTCAGTGTAACCTGCTTCTGCCAGAGCGGGGAGACCTGCAGCCCTCCCATCACATCCCAGGGACCGGGCAGTCCTCCCGGGACAAGACATCTATATACCAGACGGGGAGAACCCCGGGGACCGAGCCGGCGCCGCCCTGCTCCCACCTCTCTCCTCCGGGATGTTCTCTAAAAAAACTCACGGCGATGTGAAGAAATCAAGCCAGAAGGTTCTGGACCCCAAGAAGGACGTTCTGACCCGACTGAAACACCTGCGGATCGTCATCGGTGAGCGGCCTGTGAATAGGAGGGGCCCCCGGGGGGATGCTGTGATGTAGGGTGTGGGCCAGGCTGCCGTGCCCCCTGCTGGAGGGTACAGGATGTACACTGGGGTGACAGGATGCGGGTACTGGATGTGATCCGGGGTGACAGGATGTGGGTACAGGGTGTACTCAGGGGCGACGGGATGTGGGTACAGGGTGTACACAGTGGCGACGGAATGTGGGTACAGGGTGTACACAGGGGTGACAGGATGTGGGTACAGGGTGTACACAGTGGCGATGAGATGTGGGTACAGGGTGTACACAGTGGCGTTGAGATGTGGGTACAGGGCTGACAGGATGTGGGTACAGGGTGTACACAGTGGTGATGGGATGTGGGTACAGGGTGTACACAGGGGTGACGGGATGTGGGTACAGGGTGTACACAGGGGTGACCTGATGGGGGTACATGGTGTACGCTGGGGTGACAGGATGTGGGTACAGGGTGTACGCTGAGGTGACAGGATGTGGGTACAGGGTGTACGCTGGGGTGACAGGATGTGGTACAGGATGTGATCAGGGGTGACAAAATGTGGGCACAGGGTGTGAAATGGGGCGGGCCAGTGACTGGATGTTGATGATCTGCTCTGGTGGATAAAGCCACCATACACACACCAACCTTCATATCATTTCTGCCATATCCACCAAAAGGATCACTTCAGCCCACAGCTAACACTTTCTTTCCAAACCAGCTAAACTGTTGGCAGTAAGTTGTTCCAATCCATACGGATGTTTGTGATCCAAAACTAGTTCAGGCCGGAGCCAAATGTCATGTTGTGTTATCTTCTTTCACATGCAGCACCTTGATTTCTATAATACAACGGTTAACAAAGGGTTAAATCCCCTGGCAAGTGAAACCTAGGGTGACCAACCTCCCACCAACCTTGCTGGGTCCCCAGCTATACATGATGGTTTTATCGACCATCAAGTACATCACCTGAGGACACAGGACCAAACTACAAATGCTCAATCAGTAGTTTGGTTTTACAAACTATTATGATGAATTTATTCTCCCCAATAGAAGTGCCCCCCCCCCCCGCTGCTTTATAGAAAACGATAGCAGGTACCGGGGTCTTACTACATCCAAAAGTGTGATAAAGTATTTGTTAAGTAAGAGGAAATTTGATTTGTTCTAATTATGCGCCTGTTTAACTTGCTCGATAAATCTTGTGGCAGACACAGACTCTTCTGTTTGACAGTCAAACACAATAATACCGGATCTAATTACTGTATTATAGGAACTTGTCAAAAGCAAGAAAACAGCTGGAAAGTGGTGCTTCTCTCCTTGTGAAAATACTCTTTGTCTGGCTGTCATGCAGACCCTTTTACTTTAATATTGTTTAAAACTCACTAACTAAACTATGCAGGATGTGGGCACAGGATGTACTATAGGGTGACAGGATGTGGGCACAGGATATACTATGGGGGGACAGAATGTGGGTACAGGATGTGATCTGGGGTGACAGAATGTGGGCATTGTATTTCTTTGGGGTGACTGGATGTGAGCACAGGATTGTTTCTGGGGTGAGTGGATGGGGCATAGGATGTGTTTGAGGTGGCAGGATGTGGGTACAAGATGTGAACTTTCAACCAGTCTCTACCATATCCACCACATCTGCTCTGGGCTGACAGAATGTGGGAACAGGATGTGATATGGGATGACAGGATGTGGGTACAGGATGTGATCAGAGGTGGCAGCTTGTGGGTACAGGAAGTACTATGGGGTGACAGGATTTGGGCACAGGATGTACTATGGGGTGACAGGATGTGATCAGAGGTGGCAGCTTGTGGGTACAGGATGTACTATGGGATGACAGGATGTGATCAGGGGTGGCAGGTTGTGGGTACAGAGTGTCATCTGGTGTGAAAGGATGCGGGTTTGGAATGTGCTTTGGGGTGACAGGATGTGGGAACAGGAAGTACTATAGGGTGACAGGATGTGGACACAAGATGTGATCAGGGGTGACAGGACAGGATGTGGGTACAGGATGTAGTATGGGGTGACAGGATGTGATTTGGGGGTGACTGGATGTTAGCATAGGATTGTTTCTGGGGTGAGTGGATGGGGCATAGGATGTGTATGAGGTGACAGGATGTGGGTACAGGATGTGACCCTTTAACCAGTGTCTACCATATCCACCAGGATGTGCTCTAGGCTGACAGAATGTGGGAACAGGATGTGATCTGGGGTGACAGGATGTGGGCACAGGATGTACTATTGGGTGACAGGATGTGGGTAGAAGATGTGATCAGGGGTGGCAGGTTGTGGGTGCAGGAGGGGTGGCAGGTTGTGGGTGCAGGATGTGATCAGGGGTGGCAGGTTGTGGGTACAGGATGTGATCGGGGGTGGCAGGATGTGGGTCCAGGATGTACTATGGGGTGACAGGATGTGGGCACAGGATATACTATGGGGTGCCAGGATGTGGGCACAGGATATACTATGAGGTGACAGAATGTGGGCATTTTATTTCTGTGGGGTGACTGGATGTGAGCACACAATTGTTTCTGGGGTGAGTGGATTGGGCATAGGATGTGTTTTTGAGGTGGCAGGATGTGGGTACGGGATGTGAACCTACAACCAGTCTCTACCATATCCACCAGGATGTGCTCTGGGCTGGCAGAATGTGAGAACAGGATGTGATCAGGGGTGACAGGATGTCAGTACGGGGTGTCATCTGGGGTGACAGGATGCCGGTACAGGATGTTCTATGGGGTGACAAACTTTGGGAACAGGATCTACTATACAGTAACAGGATGTGGGTACAAGATGTACTATGGGGTGACCGGATGTGGGTGCAGGATGTGATCAGGGGTGACAGGACAGGATGTGGGTACAGGATGTACTATTGGGTGACAGGATGTGGGTACAGGATGTGATCTGGGGTGGCAGGATGTGATCTGGGGTGGCAGGATGTGGGTACAGCATGTGATTAGGGGTGGCAGGATGCGGGTATAGGATGTGATCTGGGGTGACAGGACGTGAGTACAGGATGTGATTTGGTGTGATAGCATGTGATCTGGGGTGAGGGGATGTGGGTACAGGATGTTTTCAGGGGTGACAGGACGTGAGTACAGGATGTAATTTGGTGTGATAGCATGTGATCTGGGGTGACAGGATGTGAGTACAGCATGTGCTCTCGGGTGACGGCATGTGATCTGGGGTGACGGGATGTTAGCACAGGATGTGATCTGGGGTGACGGGATGTGAGCACTGGATGCGATCTGGGATGACGGGATGTGAGCAGAGGATGTGATCTGGGGTGACGGGATGTTAGCACAGGATGTGATCTGTGGTGACGGGATGTTAGCACAGGATGTGATCTGGGGTGACGGGATGTTAGCACAGGATGTGATCTGGGGTGACGGGATGTGAGCACTGGATGCGATCTGGGATGACGGGATGTGAGCAGAGGATGTGATCTGGGGTGACGGGATGTTAGCACAGGATGTGATCTGGGGTGACGGGATGTTAGCACAGGATGTGATCTGGGGTGACGGGATGTTAGCACAGGATGTGATCTGGGGTGACGGGATGCTAGCACAGGATGTGATCTGTGGTGACGGGATGTGAGCACAGGATGTGATCTGGGGTGACGGGATGTGAGCACAGGATGTGATCTGGGGTGACAGAATGATGTTTCTAAATTGCTAACGCAGGAAATGTATACCGATAAGGATTCCTGATTTTCTATGCCCATGTTCTACAGAAACTTGCATTTGCAGAATGAGGAGGTCAGCGATGGCCGTCTCCATATTCAGCAATTAGACAATGCCATGATCACATTAGAGGTTTCTAACAGTACACTTTAACGAATAATTGGTTACTGCTGGAAATGTAGCCTTTCCTCTACTTTTATTTTCAAGGTTTATATTGTGGTGGTTCTAACCGTCATCCCTTGTAATCTCCAAAAGCACAAAATAAAAGTGCTTTGATGTTTTAGGGACTGGTTGTGTAATAAGATTTGTAGTGTTCCCTGCTGGTGTTCTCTAAATCGGAGTGTTCTGCATTACGAATAGATATCAGTGAGGGGAAATCTGTGGATTCTGCAGTTTTTCATCGGCATTCTTCAAAAATGTGTTTAGTGTAATATTATTTTGTGCTTATTTGTGTGTTTTTTTCCCCCCATTTAGTTGTGATCTACTTGCTAGTTGCTTCTGTAACCCTTTCAAGGGGGGATTCCAGAGGTCATTAAAGTGGAATTAAACTCTACCGGTGCCCACCGGGTTTTTACCATAATTTGCCAGTACACACAGCATATTTTCATATTATGGCCGACTTACCTGGTACAGTACCCCACTACAGTATTACGACAGCCACAATGTACCTTGTCTCTTTGTCTCTGTTGCCGCTGCTCACATGCTCGCCCGGTGTTCTGGATTTGGCGTCTTGGGCCATCCTTATTGACCAGCCCAGGGTAATGTCAATTCAACCTGGCAGACGTCAGGATTGTGCATGTGCGGCTCAGTGTACACTCCCCAAAAACATAGCTAGCGGGCAGGTAAGTCGTTTCTTTTGAAGAAGAGACATACAGAGTGATTTAAACATGTCTGCTAGCAGTGTCTTTTAAATTTAAGTTTAGCTCTACTTTACAGCCCAGCATCTGAATGTGACCCCCCACCCCCAGGTGTTTGCTTACCTTGGTTCTGCATACACGCCCTCCTCTAGTGTTTAAACCTTGCTGTGAAGAATGTGTCATGGTACACTGCTCTAGTCAAGTCAATGGGGAACTTGGCACAGAAGAGATTTTCCCTCAGATAAGACTGTAAAACAGCATAGAAAGCCATGGATTTGGACCAATGGAGCATCTTGGGAAGGGGTGGCCACTCTGTCAGCCTCAGGGCCATACAGTGTTATTGGTTACTATGATGCAGTCTGCTGCACAGGATTATTGGTTGCTTTGGTGCTGTACAGCCAACAGCATCCTAGAAACCAATTGTGCTGTAAGCTAACAGCATCCAGCTACCAAG